CTATCGGAAGGGCCCGAAGAAAACTTCGGAATCACCACTCGCGCCAAGAAATCAACCCCACTACAAGAGTAGGAGAAGCCCAATTAGTATTTAATGCCATACAAAATTAAGAAATTTGTCAAAAAGTGTTTATTCGCGGTTGCTCTAATATCTTGGAGCTTGTTATGAGCTTTGCGTCCGCACGATTAACAAATTGGCTTAAGATATTACAATTATTTTGTTAAGTTTAGCAAACGGTTTTAAAGTTATTAAGTATAGTTTTATTTAATAATTTTCTTTCGAACTTTGTGATATTGAATGCGGTGGCATTTAATAATTTTCTTTCAAACTTTGTGATATTAAATGCGGTGGCATTTAATAATTTTCTTTTGGACTTTGTGATATTCAGTGCGGACGAACAATAAGATTAAATCTGTGTAAACTCTTAGTGCGATAAAGTAACTTCGACTTTATCAATTTTACTCCTTGTGTACGCGTAGTTGATTTAGTGACTGTATATATATTTTTTTCCGTGTTGTGTAATCTACATTTCCCATAAATGGTAGTATTAAAATTGTGATAATTTCATTTATTCTAACCCCACACCATTACAAACTGGCGCCTAACCGAGTGGCCAGAAACAGAAAAATGGCAGTTACCATGTCAGAAGAAATGTTGCAGTGAGTGATAAGCGCACAATCGAGCACACGGACTTGGTGACCGGCAGCTTTGCCAGGTGCTAGGCCAGGTTCAATGGAACACGGATTTCCGAAAAAGTAAAGGAATTCACAACTACCATCACCTTGTACAAAGACATTGAGTGCATCTCGGACGAGGATGCGCTAAGGGTGCTACCGCATATGCGGAACCGTGAACGCATCCCACGGACAACGAATAATACGTTCGATGAGCTGCTTCAAAGAGCTCGCGACGTAGAAGCTAACATTTCCGAGGCAGAAAAGAAAGAAAGTAATCCGGTGGAAAGACAGAAAACCTGCTCTTTTTGCGGCAACATCGGACACACGGTTACAGTATATCGCAAACGCCAAGGAACAAAGCAGATCCTAAAAGAAGAAGGAGCCAGAAACTCGCAGCAAAGCGAGAACCTCCTATTATGGTTGCGGCATGGCAGGGGTTATCCGCGGCAAGTGCCCAGTCTGCTCTCCCCCAACATCTGCACAGGCAGCAACTACGCAAAGATACGGATTTTTCAGCCTGACCACACAAGAGCCAGGAAAATGCAGCTACTGCAAGAAGAAGGGTCACTTGAAAGAATTCAGCCCTAAGCGCCTGGCCTGAAAAAAAAGCGTGATCTCATATGGAACCGTCAATCAAAAGAAACCGCGGTTCAAGAACATTGCTCCAGACCCGTCATTAAGGCACAAGTCCAAGGCGTAATGGGTTACGCATTTGTGGACACCTTCGCGGAAAAGAGCATCGCGGGAAAAACGTTGTACAGCCTACTGCAGTCAACAAACCATCAATTCGAACCATCAATGATGACGATGACAATAGCTGATGGGGAGTCGAAGCTTCGACCCATACTAAAGACGACGACCATTTTGTTGCGGCAGGATGACAGACCAGTGCCAACGGAATTTGTCGTGATGCCGGTAGCAAAAGGAAACTACAGCCTGCTAGCCATGGATTTCTTGCACAAAGCCGGTCTTGTGTTAGATATGAAGCACCGCACGTGCAACTTTTCGGACCAGACGCAAAAGTACCCTTTCCCAGATTTAGAAACAACCTTTACTAGTAATTTATTCAAACTTAAAAAAAAAGAATTGCAACATCACCATCTAATGATACATGTGAACGTATGCATAAGGATCTTATCCAAAATATTAGTTCATATATAAACAGCAAACAAACAAATTGACCCAAATATATTAAATATGTAATTTTTATTCACAATTTACGTGCCACCGTACATAAATCGACAAATTATACAGCTTCTGAATTACAATTTAGGGGAAAAATTTAATTACCTTTATTTGTCAGTAAGAGTAGCGATATACAAAACAATTACGATATATACACAAATGAATTAAAATCTAAATTACTACAGGCAAATTTAAATGCATGGATAATACTGGGTAGAAATTTATAGATTTGTATCCTAGATTCCAAATAGACAATACATAGTTACGACAACTTATTAAAAGTTATTCATGTTTCAAACAAAACTATTCTTGTTTACTTTCTGGAAATTATTAAAATTTGATTAACGTTTGTAAATCTGATTCATCCCTTTACCCCTGATTCCTCATCCTGCATAGGGATGGCGATCTGAAATCGATTTGTGGAGCCAATAAGATCGATTTTTTAAATCGATATGTAGTACTGAATCAATTCGTTGAATCGATATTTCACCCTTGAAAATCGACATCCGATTTGTTTTGGTATAAACCATAAAACTATTTACAATTAATTGAACGTATCCGTATCATAAGAGTGCTGCCGGTTAAAGAATTAATTATTCAAGAACTTACGAGATGTTCAGATTCCTTCACATGTCTTGAATAAAAAAAAGTTACGTTTGTAATCTTTGACTTTTTCTTTCTTTGTATCTGTGACTGGACTGAGTTGCGTCATGCCACCATAATTTATTTTTGGTATTTATTTTATTTGTTTATTGTTGATTGATTGAATGATTCTTGTAAAGCGATAAATATTAATTTTTATATAGTGTTTGTTGCGGAATAATAACTAATTGAACCTAAGTAGGTAAGTAAAGCGCTTTATTTTGTTTTTTGCTTTCGTGCTGTTATTTTCAGTTTAATCTATTAGTTGTGATCATTAAATCTAACCATGTATGTAATTCATTTACCTTTAGATACGAATAATCAATATTGGGCATTGAAATAACTGTCATATGTAAAAGTATGCATACTTACTTCTACTATTATGTCCATTTAAATATATAACCTCAAATTGTTTATTTTGTTTGCATAGAAGGTAATAGTAAAGCCCTGATTATCTTTTTAAAAATAAACTACCAAAATTCCTTTAATCTTATTTTTATCAAGTAAAATCGGTCTGCGGTCACCTACAATACGTACCTATTTGGCAGGTAAGAACGAAAAAGATCGATTTTTAAATCAAATCGAATAATCGAATTATAACCTGATAAACCTATAAAGGTTTTTTTTTACAAAAAAACTATTAGTTCTATTTAATTATTTATTTATTTAAATGTTTTACTAATCTTTCATATAAACTCTTCTTTTAAATTGTTTAGGATTGATGCTAATGAGATTTTGAATGTTACATAAAACTAGTAGATAACTAATTACTAAAAATTTCGTTTTTTGTCAAATTTAATAAGGAAAAAAATTATTTTTACAGCATGTCGGGTAAAAGTGATATTTGGAATCATTTCATAAAAAAAGACTCTGGAGGCAGGCAAATGCAAATATTGTCACCAGGAAGTAAAAACTAAGGGAAACACAACAAACCTACGTAATCATCAATTCAGACCGTAAGTCTCAAAAAGAAGATTGAAAGTGGTGGCAATTGTGGTAATGCACGAAATGGTGATGGACAAGTGAGTAGAGTGGAGCCTGTATTTCTTATATCACATCTTTTGTTTTCCAATGCACTGAGTTTGGACAAAATAAAAATTAATGTTCAATAATAATGTTTTGATGACATGGCTTTAGGCATCGTACCAGTTTCAGATTCTCTAAATCAGTGGTCGGGGAACCGGGGTAAATTACCCAAAATGGGGTAAAAGTGGAATTTTTGGGGGTAAAAAGTTAGTGTGGGTTAAAATCGTTGAACCGAACATAGTGGTCACCAATCGATTCAACAGATGGCGGCCTCAGTAAAACGAATATCGAATGCATGATTTGGCAACATTGAGCGCAGCTCCGGCGACGTGCTTAGTCGTGAGTTGCAAGAGTGTGCCTGCTTAGTCCGTGCCGTGCCGCCAAACTACATCTGTGTTTATAAGTTAGAAACCAAGTAGTTATCAGTTAATATTAGTTAGTTACTGACAAGACCATAATTTTATAATTAATCGTCAATATATCGATCAAGGTAAGCCGCAATTTGATACTTTGTTAAACGTATTCTTGTATCCTACTATTTTACCATTTTAGTATGCGAGAATTGTTGTATTCACGTATTCTAGTATTTTAGTATTCATGTATTCTAGTATTTTTGTATTGCACATATTTTTTATTTTCTTCAGATGACAGAAAATAGAAAAAGAACATACCAAGAGGAATTCCTTAATTACGGTTTTACCCAAATAGAGGACAATGGTACAATGAAACCACAGTGTGTTGTGTGTATGAAGGTCCTGACACCAGAATCTTTCAAAAAAAGTCAATTAAAAAAACATTTAGGTAATGTTCATTCGCAACTAAGTTCTAAACCGCGAGAATACTTCCCAAATTTGGAGATATCCATTAAAAGGCAAAGATTGAATTGCAACTTGTATGGTAACTTTGATCAGCGTTCAGCATCAAGGGCTAGCTTGGAAGTAGCTTGGTTAATCGCTCGAAATAAAAAACCATACACTATCGGTGAAGACTTGGTTAAACCAGCTGCTGTCAAAATGGCAGAGATTATGTGTGGTCAAAAGGAAGCGAAGAAACTAAACTCAGTGCCGTTGTCTGCGAGAATTGTGAAAGAGAGAATTTCTGTATTAGCAGAAAATGTGAATGAGCAAGTAGTTTTTGCATTAAGACAGGCAAAATATTTTGCTATTCAGCTAGATGAGACAACGGATTTTAGTAGCAATTCACAACTGATGGTATATGTTCGCTACAAAGGTGTGGATAATTTTGAAGAGGAATTGCTGTTTTGCTCTCCTCTCGAGTTGAGATGTCGTGGAATAGATATTTATAATAAGGTCAACGATTACTTCAAACCGCAATGCTTAAAATGGGAAAACGGTATCTTTGGATGGAGCTCCAGCTATGTTGGGTCATATTAATGGTTTTTCCGCCTTTGTAAGGAAAAATAACCCAACTATCGAAATTACTCATTGCATGATTCATCGCCAGGCCCTTATGGTAAAATATTTAGAACCTACACTAGAAGCCGTCATGCACGATGTTATCAAGGGGCATGCACTAAATACGCGACTATTTCGTGAATTGTGTCAAGATGGTGAAGCTGAGTATACAGACCTCCTTTATCATACAGAAGTGAGGTGGCTCTCTCGCGGAAATGTTTTAAATCGAGTATGGACTCTCAAAAATGAAGTTGAAATGTTTTTGGTTTCTCAAAAAAATATTCTTGCAGAACATTTTAATAACTCTTCCTGGATTGCATATCTCGCATATTTGGCAGACATATTTGAAAGCATAAATATATTGAACAAAGAATTGCAGGGAAAGCATTGTAATATTATTTCAGCAAGAGAAATATTGTCAGCATTTGGGTTAAAGCTGGAGTATTGGAAGCAGAAGGTAGAAGAAAACAAAATAGCATCTTTTCCAAGGTTAGCTTTGTTTTTGGAGAATTCTGAAAATATTACATTAGTTGATATCAAAGATACAATAGTAAGACATCTTATTAAACTGAGAGAGCGGTTTTTCCCAGACAACACAAGACATCCTGGAAAACGTCCACAGGATATCCACGCGCGGACATTCATTGTCCCTGCGATAGCCTTACGGATATCCCGCTTATCCTGATCTTATCCGAAACATGTTAATATGTCGCACCTATGGGACGTTCTGTAGGATATCCCGCGCGGGATATTCCGGACATAAACCGGACATGAATAGGATATAATTATGGAATTGTTTTTTACTTTTTAGATGAAAAATAAATTTGGATTAAAAATAAAATAAAAGAACACAATTTCACAAAGTAAACTTTTATTACAAAATAACAAAATCCTGAGATAATTTTATAACAAAATTTAATATATACAACTTTAATTCAAAATAACTTATTTTACAATATTAAAAATATAATTAATTCGGCATTCAATCCTAGTTCATGGTTGATTTTCTCTCCTGAAATAGAAAACAAATGAATAAATGCATATATATGTATATATATATATATATATATATATATATATATATATATATGAGTAAGTTCTTTAAGAGCGATACATCAATCAAAATAGACAGAGATTTATAAAATAATCTCTATTTCCAAATATATCGACACAATTTGATGTCATTACGAGTGAATATTAAACTTGGTTTTTTACATCTAAAAATGTGTACACAGCACAAATTTTGCACTAACATTGATACAACTAACCAGTCAATAATCATGATTTTTTTGTAAATAGGAAAAACATATAGTACACATCTCACAAAAATACCTTGTATAATATTTATTGGCACGTCGCAGCCAGCTTTTTGCAGCCTCTGAAATAGCAAACTATGTCTCATGCGGCAAATTTTTCAAAGCAATTCCTGGAATTAATTATATATAAGTTTAATTCATAATTCACAACACATCATAAGTATAAGATATATAAATTACCTGTGATGACATCGCAAGGCACTAGATCACAAAATTTATTTTTGCCCTTTCCTCGTCCCTAGCAAAATTCTTTGTCCAAACCATCATCAAAAATGGATTTTCATAGCTGGACTCTGATGGCTAAATACAGAATATAAAGAGAAAGTTTGTTTAGTATATGATAAAGTTAACAAATAAAAATAAATCTATATAAACTTTTGATTACCAATTGTATTTTGATATCTTTGCTCAGAAGAATAGCCTCCATAAGTTGAAGCTCCTCCAACAAACATAGTGGAGAGCATTTCTTCTTTGTTAATTCTCTTTCAAACACAGCATTTGATACAAAATTAGGCATGGCTGCTGGATAAGCTAGCAGGTTAGAAATGTCAGCATTAAATTAAAAATTCTATTTGTACTAGTAACATAGTATTTCAAATAACAGTACACAGAAAGCTTTAATTACCATCGTTTATATCTGCCCCGCTTTCAATATGTTGCTGCAATATTTATAACACACACGCACATATAATTATATAGAACACATAAAATTTCCACTATTATTACTCAATTTTAGAGTATTTTGATAAATAATATTAATTATTTATAACACACGCTCATATAATTATATAAAACAAATAAAATTTTCACTATTATTACTCAATTACTCAAAAACTATGATAATTCGACATATAGGGTCTATTGATAACGCTTAAACCTTAAAGGACGCCCCATTCCTACAGCCGACGCGACAAAAGAGAAAGGGACAAACATATACGTTTCGAGGTCTCAAGCCGTGCGCGTATGAGACCGACATGTTCCTGAACCGTGCGTTTATACCTGCTCGAGTCCTTTGGTTTTGAGACGTCCCGTTGCATATTCATAGGATATTCATAGGATATCGCGATATTAGGAGATTGTGAGGACAAGTGGGACATTCCCTGGCATGTCTTGTGCTGTCTGGGTTGGATTACTTTCCAGATCTGGATATACGTTCTGTGAGTTGGGTTATAGATCCTTTCAAATGTGACATTTCTATGATACCAGAACAACCTGCAGGTTTAGCTGAATCGATTTTAGAACTTCGATCCAATACCGAAGCTCATATTGAATTTGGTAATAAACAAAATCTCTCATGTTTTTGGATATCAAAAGCTGCAAAGGGTTTTGAAATAGCACATGAAGAGGCGGTAAAAAAATTTGGAACCACATACTTGTGCGAACAAGGCTTTTCCAGTCTGGTAAACATTAAATCAAGAAGTAGAAATAGACTGAATGCCGAAGAATGCATTGAAATTGCTTTGACATTAAAAATCCCAATTTTGAACAAATACTGTCAAAAATGAAGCAACATCATTTCTCAAAATCGTGATGTAAGAATGTGTGCGTGTTTATTGTTACTTCATGTCAAATTAATTGTACTTATTGTTTATTCATGTATTAATAGGGTTTTCATAAGAAATATAATATAAAAAATATAGTTTTCAGTTATTGTTTCCTTCAAACCATTTGTTTCAGCCTTTTTCGAAGTTTAGAAGTAACAAACAATGTAACAAAACCTTTAATTAACAGGTTATGGCTATACAGAAATATGTGGCAAACAGATTCTAATTATACTTCTTTGGTTAAGTCGTGTTTTTTTTTCTGGGGTAATGAGAGGTCGCACAAAAACATTTTGGGGTAATGGTTCCAAAAGTTCCCCGACCACTGCTCTAAATGTTAATGATTCGTATATTGAAAGCGTGACTTTCTTCTGTCTCTGTATCAGTCTTAAAACAGCCAACATTGACATCTTGCTTAACAAATATAAAATCATTTCGAGGTAAAACAAGAAACTGAAATATTTTTTTAAATAAATTTTCATGAAAGTGAGATGTATAGATACTAGATCGAAAATTATAACTTTAGCTAAAATTTTCAGATAATGGTGTTAAAAGTGGTCAACGAGCCAATGCAATAGTCTTCTTAATAGCAAAGGATGGCTTGCCACTAAATACTGTGGAAAAACAGGATTTGAATATTTGATGAAAGTAGTGGCACCGCTATATAAAATTTCAGCCAGAAAAATAATTACCCACATGATTGATGATAAATATAACGCTCTTTCAGCACAACTAAATTAAAAATACAAGAAGTAGAAGCACTATCTTTGACTGCAAATGTGCAACTGCTCTAACAGAACCACACAATGCCGACTACTTACTAGCACAAGTAATTATTAATAGACAGAAAAATGGAACATCACAAGTGGCAAAGCGGTAGCGTTTATCACGGACAATGGCGCTAATATCGTTAAAGCAGTCACAAATGTTTATGGCAAAAATAAACATACCATGCTTTGCTCATACATTAAACCTAGTAGCATCAAAACCATTTGAAAACAAGGATGGACTAGACGAAGTCAAGAATTTATTAATAGCTGTTAAAGATATTACTACATGTTTTAAGCAAAATACAAGTGCTGATGACTCTTTAAAGAAATCTCAGGATCACCAAACAAAGCCTTCCCAGACAACACAAGACATCCTGGAAAACGTCCACAGGATATCCACGCGCGGACATTCATTGTCTCTGCGATAGCCTTACGGATATCCCGCTTATCCTGATCTTATCCGAAACATGTTAATATGTCGCACCTATGGGACGTTCTGTAGGATATCCCGCGTGGGATATTCCGGACATAAACCGGACATGAATAGGATATAATTATGGAATTGTTTTTTACTTTTTAGATGAAAAATAAATTTGGATTAAAAATAAAATAAAAGAACACAATTTCACAAAGTAAAATTTTATTACAAAATAACAAAATCCTGAGATAATTTTATAACAAAATTTAATATATACAACTTTAATTCAAAATAACTTATTTTACAATATTAAAAATATAATTAATTCAGCATTCAATCCTAGTTTATGGTTGATTTTCTCTCCTGAAATAGAAAACAAATGAATAAATGCATATATATGTATATATATATGAGTAAGTTCTTTAAGAGCGACACATCAATCAAAATAGACAGAGATTTATAAAATAATCTCTAATTCCAAATATATCGACACAATTTGATGTCATAACGAGTTAATATTAAACTTGTTTTTTTACATCTAAAAATGTGTACACAGCACAAATTTTGCACTAACATTGATACAACTAACCAGTCAATAATCATGATTTTTTTGTAAATAGGAAAAACATATAGTACACATCTCACAAAAATACCTTGTATAATATTTATTGGCACGTCGCAGCCAGCTTTTTGCAGCCTCTGAAACAGTAAACTATGTCTCATGCGGCAAATTTTTCAAAGCAATTCCTGGAATTAATTATATATTAGTTTAATTCATAATTTACAACACATCATAAGTATAAGATATATAAATTACCTGTGATGACATCGCAAGGCACTAGATCACAAAATTTATTTTTGCCCTTTCCTCGTCCCTAGCAAAATTCTTTGTCCAAACCATCATCAAAAATGGATTTTCATAGCTGGACTCTGATGGCTAAATACAGAATATAAAGAAAAAGTTTGTTTAGTATATGATAAAGTTAACAAATAAAAATAAATCTATATAAACTTTTGATTACCAATTGTGTTTTGATATCTTTGCTCAGAAATATAGCCTCCACAAGTTGAAGCTCCTCCAACAAACATAGTGGAGAGCATTTCTTCTTTCTCAATCCTCTTTCAAACACAGCATTTGATACAAAATTAGGCATGGCTGCTGGATAAGCTGACAGGGTAGAAATGTCAGCATTAAATTAAAAATTCTATTTGTACTAGTAACATAGTATTTCAAATAACAGTACACTGAAAGCTTTAATTACCATCGTTTATATCTGCCCCCCTTTCAATATGTTGCTGCAATATTTATAACACACACGCACATATAATTATATAGAACACATAAAATTTCCACTATTATTACTCAATTTTAGAGTATTTTGATAAATAATATTAATTATTTATAACACACGCTCATATAATTATATAAAACAAATAAAATTTTCACTATTATTACTCAATTACTCAAAAACTATGATGATTCCACATATAGCGTCTGTTTGATGACGCTTAGCTTAACCTTAAAGGACGCAAAACCGACGCGACGAAAGAGAAAGGGACAAACATATACGTTTAGAGGTCTCAAGCCGTGCGCGTACGAGAGCGACATGTTCTTGAACCGTTCGTTATACCTGCTCGAG